TGCGGTCGTACTGTTGGCGGAGAAAAAGGACCACGAGATATCCCTCGGGACGAGGCGACGGCTCTCTCTTTTCTTCCTTGCGTCCTTTAAAACAAACAACGGCCTTATTTCTATACGCGCAGGATACCAAAGGAAAAGGAGGGGTGGGGGGGGGAAATCCTGAAGTTCTTTTAGCTGCCACCCGAGAGGAAAAAGAGGACCCGGGAGGATCCGTCCTCTTCGCGATGTCACTCCCTTTTTTTTTGTTTTCTCCTAAGAGGAAAGGGCCAAAGGGGATAGAGTTCAAGTGCCACCTGCGGCGCGCTGAAGGAAGTTGCCACCTGAGAGAACGAAACTTGTGCATAAATACATACGTGGGTGTGCGTATACCTACCTCTTGTTTTTTCTCGTGCAGCTACAAACGTTTGGTTGTAGCATTTGTTATTTTGAATGGCGTCACGGCTTTTTATGCGATCGATTTTTATAAATAGACGAAAAATCGATTTTGGCCCCAACAGTAGTAGCTCGCGTTGCACGAGAGTGGCTTGACATACAAGTGCAAAAGGACGCAACGCTGTTGAACTTTGTAACTAGATCCAATTTATTTTCGAGGGTCAGCCCTACGGCTTCTCCGCTCGACCGTTCGCCTTGGCTTTTGATCTTACCACGTGTATACAATGTCTCAAGAAAAAACATACTGATAGTCGATCGTAAAAACAAACTTGGGAAGATTATGGGGTCGTCTCACAAATGTGCTTTCGATTTCCCAGGGAGGATTGCTCTCTTTGTTTATGTATACACCTATCAGTTCTCATTTATTTCTTAATGAACAATAATAAATAAGGATATGATATAGTGAAGCTCAAGACTGAATCGAGGAAGCGCTTCTTTTGTAAACGAATTACGCATATAGATTTTTCATCCATAGCCGATAAAAATATAGTTGCTGAAGTAGCCCGCACCTGTCTTACTTTGACTTATGCATACGAGCAATATATGGCACAGAGCGCTTCTATACATACCCGTGAAAGGCCCATTATGAATTATTTTCTTCACGGGGCAGTCCATCGTTCTATAAAAGCTATTTGGATGAGAATTCCCGCACAAAAGAGCGTCTGTCTGGCCGAATGATCCCACAAATCATGCACGCATCTTGGGGCTCGCTATTACTTTCGCAAACCACCAACCAGGACCGTGCAGTGCACAATGCACCAAGCGGCAAGAGAAATTTTGTAGGCGTACAGACAAGGGCAACTCACAAAACCAAAATATTTCTAAACACATTATTTCATACATCAACGGGAATGCACGTGGTAAAAGTAAAGGGTAAAAACTGTGCAATCAACAGTTTCTGGGATCCCTCGTGCAGATCGAAGCAGAGACGGACAAAAAAAAAGGTAGACTCTCGTGTACTTGCTGCCGTTGTTGTCGCTGAACTCTTGTGCCCGGGAAGTCGAGACTCGGCGCAATTATTCAAATGCTCCGTTACTCACCGATTTCTCCACGCACGCGGAAAAGGTTCTCGGTCTTTCTCACGCGCGTGCCACCACCACCACCGCCCGCGGAGCCATTATGCCATTTTCAGCCGAGGGTATAACATACATCCCGTGGATGACTCGGTCACGCGCCCCGTAACAGAGTAGAGCAGAGCGACGCTAACTGGCAGTGCACGGGCACCGTACTTGTTGTTCTTGTCGAGGTGCACAGGATATACTTACCTACGGGGAAAGGATCGGCTCGCTGGACCGTCTTGGTTCCTGCCAGTTGGCGTTACCGGTGTGCACCGTAACTTTCCCCGGCGCTGCTTCTGATTTCCGAAGCTTTATACCTTTTTTTTTTTTTTTTTTTTTTTTTCCGATGAGGCTGGAACTATGGTATAGGCACATCACACAACACGACACAAGTTATCCTACGCTAAAACCTCGACTTGACTCTGGTACACAAGACTGATGGGGCATCGTTCATCATGGGAAATAACCTATTGGGCAAAACAATCATTCATCTTGAAGAAAGAACAATTAGGAAAAAGTCAAACGGAGGGTTATAATTTTGCCCGTCGAATTAGCTGTCTAATTGAATTAGCCGAGCCCAAAGTAGGTACACGCCGCAGGCGCAAGGATCATTACTTATACTATCGATGACAGCTCGCGTTACGCTTTACGACTCGAGCTCGATCGTTTGTCGGAAGTACATGTGTTTTTTTTTTTTTTTTTTTTTTCAACAAGTCCGTTCTCTTACGTAACTCTGTACCCCGGGATATCTTGTTCCTTTTCCGAAGTTTGCTCGGATAAAAAGCAAAATCACTTTGTTGCACGTCTCAACGGTCTCGAAGCTACGGGATCACTATAGCGTGGAAAGAGAAGCGAGAGAAGGCACGCAAAGGCTCGTAAAATCTCGGGGGCCAGGGGGGACTTTTTGCGCACACACGCTGAAATTGCGCTTACAATTAACGCCGGCGAGGAGGCGTATGGGCTGGAGCTCGCCTTTGGCGCCATAGTTACGAACGGCCAGGAGGAAATTGTCCGTGGAATCGTCGGAAATTCGAGCCGATGAGGGCACCGTAAAGCGATTCATCATCCATCCCCCCACCATTCGCCTCGTTTCCTCCTCCTGCTCGTTTCGTTCACTAACCATCTGGGATCTTATTTTTCAACAGCTTACCTTTGGAATTGCTCGTTGAACTTGGACGATTCCAGGTGTATGGATGTTCAATCGAGTTCTCTTGATGTCCCGTGAATCTCCGCCGAAACATGATTTCTCGATTAAATACCGTTTCTACGCATACACGTGATAAATGCTTTCTCGGTGGAGTTACGTTCCGTGACGAAACAACGCACGCGGTACTATAAAGTCCTTTTCGAGTGTGCGCGTTTGGCTGAGTGAAAAAAAAAAGAAAAAAAAAAAAGAATTTTGCGACACGGTCGGAACACTTTGCGGAAATTCACGAGAGTCTCTTTTGTCTCTTGGAACGGTAAGAGTCGCTTGGAACAGGAAAAGCTAAGGGGCCGATTGCCTCGGTCCCGCGTACGCGTGATTCACACGAGCTCTCTCTCTCTCTCTCGCGGGGACACCCACACGCGCCGCGAGCAAAGTTTCCCGAGGAGTTATTGCCCGACCGGCTAATGAATATATTTTCTGTAAGGACGCGGAAATCGTACGAGAGCCCGTGGCCTGCGCGTAATATCGAGAAAGTGTTGTTTGTTTTTATTGTAAATATACCTGGATGGATAAACGTATCTCGCTCGTGAGACTGTGGCGTGGATTTTTCGATGCCCAAGTTGTTTCGTACTTTGTCTAATGACGCACGTTGCCGATTTTCCGTGTTTAAGTTTATCAAACAGTGTGCGGCTTTGCCTATTTATGAACCATTAGTGCAAAGTCCAACTTGTACAATCATGTACATGGCAAACCATCGATGGTTCATTTTTTTTTTGTTTCGGTGAGCAGGAGAAAGCCTCTTTAGTGTTTTGATTTTAAGCATAAAACTTTCCGACCCAATGGTCATATTTTCATAAAAAAGATGATGATTCATTTGTCGTTTTTGTTCTTCTCTTCTTTAATTTTCAATTTAAAAATAATAGAATTAAAGTTGCCACTCTTAGCTTTGTACAACAAGATTTACGAGCTTTTGAGTTATTTTGAGAGTTAAGATATTACACGCTATTTGCGTGTAGAACACAACTCACCCGTTATTTGTGAATCAAGAGTATAATAAGCCACTGTCCCTAGCGCGACGCGTGCTCGGCCAAAATTATTTTAAAACGGCGGATTTTTAGAATATAGGTCACCCACCGTGACTTCTTCGAGTTTCGTCACTATTTGTCGATTCTAAGATTTTTCACACCCGTACTCTCATTGCTCATCATTTATTCTTACTAATATTGTCGATGTCACTCGTTACTTTCAAATTAGTGAAAAATTTCAATTTATTTCAAACATTGTCACGTTTCTCTGCTACCCACAAAACAGAGGAGAACCAAGCCCCTAGCAGTAAACACCCCTATTTCTCGGAAATCCCCGGAAGCAGACATAGTAAAAAGTCACCAAAGACGATAACATGACTTTACGGGCAATAACAAACCGATCCTCACGCACAATCAGCCTGCAAGATTTTTCTAATCACTTCCCACTCATCTTGGCAATCGTACACCACCAGGCCTGTTCCACCGAAGTTCTATCTCACATCTCCTGTCCCCGAGCGCTCGATGCTCGATTTGCTCGACGGCATCGGTATGTAATACCAACGGCTCCTGCCCACGCGAACTATTTCTCGTGGTCGTCGACGGGCTATCGGCCATAAACAAGCTATCAAGGCGCAAACGATGGCACGTCGTAATGTATAATAAGCACCAGTGAAACGAAAGCGAGAGAGAGAGAGAAGACAACCGAGCCCTTGCCGATTCGTCCGTATAATAACGCAATTAAGTTGCCATTCATCTTCCCAGCGACGCGCCGTCGTCGTCGCCTCGCCAAAGATGTATAGTCGCCTGCAGAACCTGTGCAGCTTCTTTTCTTTTCCAACGCTGGTGTATATACATACCGGAAACGCAGTAGAGCCCGGATAATTCATTCGAGCGTTGCAGGTATATGTACCGGATCGGCCGCTCGACCGGTCCCTTCTGTGCGTTCGACGGGCTTCATCGGGCATTTTGCTATTTATACATAATGCACCTACCTACAAGTCCCGAGTGCCATTGTTACCGTTACGCGGAACGTTAAAACCGTAAAGTTCTCGTGAAATCATGGGAATTTCATTGCTCCCGGCGATTCTGCCGTACATATACCTACTGTTCACCCCAAACGAAGAAAAATCTCTCGAGCGCAACAATGCCGTCTCGTTGTCCGTGCGAGCAATCGAGTCTTACGGCACGTACGGGCTTTATGGTGACATCAGGCCCACCTACATTATATGTATATACATTATACATAGGATTATATGCCTACTCCCGAGTACGGGGAGGTAGTGCTCCCTAACGACTGCACGTAAACTAATTTTGTATTCCGTCGTTTGTGCATTGCAGCTCGACGACACGGCCCTACAGCTGTACAAGGACGGCGATTACGGGGCTTACCTGGACCTCGAGGCGTCCATCAGCGAGCAGCAGGAGGAGTTCGAGGGCTTCCAGACCAAGTAAGTTTGCCCGAAATTTATCTTCCTCTCACACGTACACGAATAGGTGCAACCCTACTTGTATCATTACTTTATATACCCTTTTCCGCGTGTAGGTATAGTATATATAAGTATGGGGATCGTATTATCTTGTGTACCCCGCTTCCTGCCTGCCCTTGATTAATATCTACCTGCTGCCCGGCATTCTGATTAGATATACCTTATTTATGATCGTGAGTATATATATATATATGCTCTATACTTGTATCGTTTTGCTCTCGGGAGAAATGATATAGGGCATTGTGTACGCTTACCGGAAATTGCTTGTATTTTATGCTCAATAAATTATTGTTATCCATCACCGTTGGTTTTGGTGACTCACGATGTCATAGCGTAATTAACGCATGGATGATTGAGACGTGAGACTATTCTTATGGAGCCGTCAAAGTATTCACTTGGTTAATTTAACGAGTAATTGATTACCCATGAAATAATTTTTTCTATTCATTGATCATTTAATATGTTTAAAAACCAATTCAAAGTCATTGATCCTTTTGAAGTTCTTTGCTTTTCTTATAGGTACGTGTTGGTATGTACTACGCGATAGTACATCACTTAACGATTTGTAAGTCCTGTTGAACATACAATCGATGTATTGTATAATTATTACAAATTAATGTTACCAATACAAATTGTTTTTAAACAAGTGCGTATACTTGACCGACAGCTGTACCGATCGTAAGTAACAAAGGCGAAAAAAATTCAAAAATAATACACACGTTTCATGTATGGGATTTCAGTTGGTTTACTTGGTGCAGCCAGGAGTATACATATAGGATGCTTTACTTGTTGAATGGGGTTTTTAAGTTTAAAAAAAAAAAAAATAAAATAAATAAATAAATAAAAAATACCAGGGATTCATGTGTTATCTTCTTAAGACAGTTTGGTCATGTTTTTATAGCGTGCATTGCGTACTTATATATATGACAAAGTCTGCGTCTGGAATTAATCATAACTAGTCTTCAAGGATTTAATATCGACAGCTGACCTGTTCCGGCCACGTTGGTTGTACGGAAAAATTGACCATACAGTTGGTTATTTACCACCAAAAATTATGTATACAAAATTTTTCCACCAATCACTCAAGTTCTTTGTGAATTATATCTCACGTTTTGTTCGTACGTTAAGTAAACTAACTAAACATTTTATGAAAATGTAGCAGAACAAACATATAAATTCACAAAATGAAAAAGTGAAACTCGTGTGGACAGTAATCATAAAAAATCATCAGGTATAGACACATCCGCAGTGTAAGAGCGTCATAAAGTTGAAGAAAATCGTTGGCCATTATTGTTCTTCCCAAACATGTTTTCACGATCAACAACTCAGCCGGCGTGTAGGTACTACCGATACAGCAGCATTACCCACCGTTTACATGCCGAGGTTGCAGCAACAGCACACGTAAACGCCGAATACGGGCGCGCACAGCTTAATCCGATTCCCGTCACGAGTTTCCGTGGCTCCTCCTGCAATTTCTTTCGATGTTAATGCCGAAACGATGATAATGAGGCCACTACTCGTCGTTGACTACTGTACTGCCACTACACTGATGCAGTGCCGTCGTTTTCACTTTGCTTCTCTCCAATGACCTGACGTTACACGTGTTTATAAATACAAGTTGAAAGAGAAAAAAAAAAAAAAAAACAGAGGATATTGGTTTAAAAAAACAGGAGGAGCAAGTTTCTCCCGCCGACATCGGTACTACACACACAAAAGGTTCTCTCGCTCTCATGACTTTTGCTCTTGTCGAATCGAACCGACGACGCGTCAAAAGGTACACAGCAGCAACTAACGTGCACATTATATCGGCAAGAAGATGAGAAAGACCATTCAATTAAAGTCGGCCACGGCCACAGTAATTGACGACGCGGCGCGAGAAAGGGTCAAGTTGGGGATCGAGTTGTTGCGAGGAGAGGCGGCGGTAGCGTCGCCGCAGATACCGATCTTTGTTTACAATCGCCGAGGACGGGGTTTACGATAATTAGGTTTTTACGGGAATCGTGCATTGTCGGGGACGTTGACTAAGAAAGTGTGGGCTCGTGCTTACCAGAGAAGAGGAAAATCTAATGGCCACGGCGTTATTTACACGGGGAGCACGCCAACCGATTCTCTCCACGTATTAACCTTTTTTGTCTTTTTTTTTTTTTTTTTTTTTCCTCCGGTTTCACTCACTTGACAAAACGCTCAATCCTGTGTGCAAAGGGGACAAGCTCCTCTCTATTATTTGTACAGATCTCTGCAAACCTGAACTTGAATACACGTATCCACACGCGAAGCTAACATCGGTTTCTCCTCAAACTGCTACGCAAGTCAAGTGGATTGTTCTGCAGTGTGAAACTGTTTTTTTTTTTTTTTTTTTTTTTTTCGGAAGAGCGCCGTTGTTTCGATCCAACTTTCTATCCGTCAGCCTTCAGGTAAAATCATAAGTAAACGCCGAGCGCGCGCGCAAAGTACACACGCGTGCCTATATGCACACTTTGCTAATATAATAGTTGTCGAGAGGGAGTCGTTGGCTCGAATATCTCAGGGGGAACAGTTTAATTTTCACCTATTTTCCGGAGCCCCTCGAGACAGGGACTCGTCACGAGGCCATCATCAGCCTCGCGTCCCCCCCTTATTAAGCCATCACAAAAGACACGCTTACAAAAAAACGTCTCGATGGAAAGGAGCATCGTCGAAGCGTGTCCGACATCATCGCTCGTTCTGCCGTACACATACACCCACACATACACATGGCATGTATTTGCAGGTACACCTCCCGTGCACGAGACATCGACCCCACCTATTATCTGGATCCGGCGATCTAGCGCTCTAAAACGCTGATAATTCAGTTGGATAAATCTTAACGTGGCTCGGCTCTTCTCCCAGGGGTTCAACAACCAGGTACAATGAGCCACCGTCAAGTGTGTTTTGCCGCGAGTAATCAGCCATCCGCACTCGTCTGTACATTGTATACATACACCATATATGTGCCATCGTATACCCGCGATTACCTTTAGTGTTGTATCGACTTGGTAATAAATGGGGAACGGCACATTACGCATGTGAATTTTCATGCCACCACCACCAGCCATATAATGTACCCTACAATCTTGTTCTGTACACGTGTACCTCCTAGAGAAGATCTTTGCCCATATAATACATATACCACTATTGAACTGCCTCCTGCATCTAACCGTATCTGTCCGAGTGATCAACCTGTACATCAGTGTGCGGTTATCCATGTAGTCCGAGGCGATCGAAGGGAAGTGGTTCTTCTCTATTAGATTTCTCGAGGAATCTGAAAAGTAAACAAACCAAAGTTTTATGTAATATTTTCAAACATAATTTTTACAATATTAATAGAGACCTTGAATAGGCCTTTTTTATTTTTTCAAAGTTACGATTGCATAAATTTAACAACCTTACCTGCAGGAACAATGCAACTATTGTACAGTTGACACAGTACACGAACAAAGTAAGCACTACAACGTACCTTATATGATGAGACAAAGACCAACAACTCATATGCATACACGTACTTACCCAACGCGCAAATAGCGCATCTCTCTTCCGACTTTCCATTGCCGCTGGTATATTGAGAGAAAACAGTGTACCTACTCGTAGCTTTAATAGGGAGTAATCGAAGGTAATGAAACATCCTGAAGCCCCGAGCTGCGACTCTTCATTATACAATTTGTTAAATTTTTACACCCACACACATATCCATACACACACACACACACACCTTTTTGTTGTACTCTCGGCTAGTAAAGAGTATAAGTGCTCTGAAAGTGCAAGCAAGAGCTCGCTTGGAAATAAATCATCCCTTGTCAAAGTTTAAGGGAATTTTCAACAACGAAATGAGTTTTGATTTTTGCTTGTCTGCACAAGCATTGAAGCTCTTTACGATGTTAATTTTCATTGTGGTCAGCAGTCCATTATGTCTGGAATTTTTACTTCGCTCTGAACAATGTAATTGAGTTTAATGCTTCGATTATTCGATTTACTGCAGTTTAACACTGGTATTATCCATACTTAGTTGATGTAACAAGTTTAAAATTGATGTAATAATTTTTTCAACCCAACACATATTACACAATAAAAATATATACATACGTATTTATTTTATTTGCCCGTAAAGAGGTGATTATACAAATATCATCGCGTTCCAAACAATTCAAGTTACGGTTCGCCTAACGTCTCATATACACTTATGTACATCGACTTTGATATGCATACAAAGGATTGTTCTTGTAGCTGCTTCTTGCACATCCGCCTTTTCTCATTTACGAAATGGTTACTTTCGCTCTCCCTCTCTTTATTCATACCACCTTGGCCCCACGAGGAAATGATTATCCTCTGATGAGCGATATTTTTTTTGTCCATCCAATGCAACCTTTTTTTTTGTTATTGTAAATGGAGGTGGCAGTGGTTTCGTTTTACCATTCCGAGCCTTTTTTCAGCGTTTGCCGATCGAGAGATTGAATTTCTGCCGAGGCATATCGCAATAATTCAATTTCAAGTTCAACCAGACCGTGCCGGCTGCGGTGCAATCCCTTTGTGTCAGCTCGTAACGAACCTTGTAGTTTATTGACCGTTAAGTTTGTGTAATTTTTTAGCCGAGCGGGTTTGGCGTTTCCATCGAAAATCGATCGAAAAACGCTATTAACCAAACAAAGTAAGTGCGGCTGACGAGAAAAAAAGCATGATAATAGCGTTGTGTTGGAAATGTACATGTAACAGCTGATCGGGACGAGTACGGTGCAGCTGTTGCAAACAAAAGTCCCAAGTATCTCGAATTTTTTGGAAGGAGACTCCGTAGTTACTACTCGAAGAGACGGACCGCAAACCAGGAGGTGAGCACGAAATTTTGAAATTTCAATCGATGATCGATATACCACCGGCCAACTTGTTCTCACATCGAAGAGGGGCAAAAACTTGAAGAAAAAGAAAGAGGGAGAAGAACAGGGAAAGAGAAA